TGCCTCATTCTGCTCAATCCATGCCTGCAGCTGTACAGCCCAGCACTTGAGCTTGTGAGTTTCGACCCTCTGGTCATCCACATCGGCCGGCAGAGCTGCTGTCTACATCATCCTGCATTGCCACATCCTTTATCTACCGAACTACAGAAATCCCTGATCGTCAGGAGGAGGCCATCTGGGTCATTCACCATTGGCCCAGATCGTGAAAATTATGATGGGCCACGGACCTGGCCCGACCCTCTGGTCATCCACAGCGGCTGGCAGAGCTGCTGTCTACATCATCCTGCATTGCGACATCCTTTATCTACCGAACTATAGAAATCCCTGATCGTCACGAGGAGGCCTACATCCTTTATCTACCGAACTATAGAAATCCCTGATCGTCACGAGGAGGCCATCTGGGTCATTCACCATTCAGAATGGCCCAGATCGTGAAAATTATGACGGGCCACGGACCTGGCCCGTTGGCATGAACGGATCGCCCAGATTCCCGATCTTAATTTTTGGGTGACTGGCCTCTAATCTGGCCGTCCTCCGGCTCATGGTGCAGATTCACGATCAATCATAATTTTAGTGATCGCCCATGCATCTGGGTCGTTCTACACATGAACGGGACAGATCACAGGACAATCTGGGCGGACGCTACTGCCCGCACCAAAAGAACTTGGGGCAGCCGGCCAACCCAAATGCGCCCGCACCACAAGAACTGAGGCGACACCCCAACTCAAAGTATGTCACGTGAGGCCGCCTGTCACCACACTCCTACCGCACACTTGCCATTACCACAACCCGCTACGATCCTCGCCCAGTATCCCCCACCAGCAAGCCGCCACCAACACCCTCTGCCCGCTCTTCCATCCTAGAGAGAGAGAGAGAGAGAGAGAGAGAGAGAGAGAGAGAGAATCACAAACCAGAGGGTGAAAGCGAAGGGCCACCAACACCCTCTGCCCGCTCTTCCATCCTACACACAGAGAGAGAGGATTACAAACCAGAGGGTGAAAGCAAAGGGTGGGAGATAACCTTGAGCTTGAAGAATGTTTGAAAGAGAAGGGGGCAGAAAAGGTCAAAAGAGAGGGAGGACAGGAACCATCGGCGTCAATGTGTCTTCTATGGTGGCATATAATCCAGATGAAATCAGTTTGTCGAGGAAAAACTTCACATCCACTCAAAATTTCTGGTGATTACAATTAAAGGGAGAAAATGAGAGCTGGAGATTGCGGTGGCGTCAGAGATTGTCAATGATATGCCAGAGCAATTGTTGATCTGTCAGAGGGCAGTTTGCTGTTAGTCGCTTTTGATGGCTCTTCGGTTGTTTCATCTGTTACTACTCGCTCCATACGTCTCATATCCGTGGTTGATTGGCTGTCCTTCACTGTCGTCGATACGGAGCTGTAATACTCAAATAATTGCACATGAAAGTACGTTTTTTCAGTTGATTTTTCAGACTGGCCTTTTCTTCTCTCTTCTGTTATGCTTCTGTTCTGAACGCTACTCGTATGCTTTTCCTTCTCAGATTGATTGCCTGCAAGTCAGTTCCTGAGATTGTGTGAGTGCAAGAAGTTTCTCCTTTTTCTGGTAATTGCCTTTCTTCTGCCCTTGTTCTTTTCCCGTTTTTTTCCCTGTATCTACATTTTTTATTAAGAGAGATAGACAGAGAGAAGGAGAGACAGAAAAGTCAGTACTCAATTGTTTTCATAAGCACGATCAGTGCACATGCACGTGCACCCACACTATAGAAAGGGACGGTTCTTTTCTTCTTTTTTTTCGTGTGTGTGTGTGTGTGTTGGTTGTGTGGCGGGGGGGAGGAAGAGGGAAGGATAGCGAGAGAGAAAGAGGGAGAGGGAGAGCGAACGCGCCCAGGGGATACAGAGAAAGAGAGAGGGCGGTGCTCGTTCGACCAAGGCACACGGCTATCTTTTGTACATGCGCTATTTCTGTTTTACGTTTCTGTATGTGCATTTGAACCCGGGATGAGAGAGAGAGAAAGGAGCCCACACCTTCCGCCACCATCTCCCTCCACGTGCCACCACCTTTGTTCGCACGGCCCCATGCCCACTGTCTCCCATCATCATTTGCTTGCACTAAGGAGTGTCTGTGAGAGAGACAAAGAGAGAGAAAAGGGAGCGCAACTGGCTCCCACTACCACTGAGGACCCGCCCTCTGTCTTCCAAACTCATGATACCTCTTTCGTCCCCCGGGCTGCCCACCCACTGTATTTCTCGGCTTCCTGCCCGCTGTAGTCCACCACCTGCACACGGGCATGAGAGGGAGAGGCGTTGAGAGAGCTGAGTCACCTCCACCCATTTGCTCCCATCTCTCCCCACTCGGGGGAGGGACGGGTGAGAGAACGAGAGAAGGGACGGAGAGAGATCTTTACCGTCTTCCCCCAACATAGAGCACTCAGATAATGAATGTGTACAAGCTATATTTCCAGTCGGTACAGCAAAAATGAGGGTGTGGGAAAGCAACAGCAAATGATATTAGGGTGCGCTGAGTCCGAGGGAAGACGGCAGTCAGGGAAGACGGCAGTCCCCGTCCTATCTTCCTGCCACACCACCTCCCCGCCACTTGCCTCTCTGCCTTCATTGCACACGACACCTGTTCCCCCTCCCTCTCTCACCTCCCCCACTTTTCTAGAGAAAATACCTTTCTGCAACAGGTCATCAAAATTAGAAAGCTCTCGTAAAGTGCCAAGACAAACTTAGAAAGCTCTCGTAAAGTGCCAAGACAAACTTGGGACGGAATATGGGGGTTTCTGTTTTTTTTTTCTGTTCTTTCTTCGCAGGCAAAGCCGCAACTCGTAAATCGGAATGAAACCAAGCCACTTACGACTCCGAGATCTCTGAGCTTTGCTGCAATGTCAATTGGCTCATCCCCGCTATGGGCCGCAGCAGGAGAGCAGTCTGATCTTGTCCTCTCAGTCTTCAGCCACTTATATATCCCTTGTATCATCAACAGAGAACTATATTCGACATCCCCTTGACCACGTCATACGTCTTTCATGGCTGATCTTGTTCGCCACAGGCGCTGCATGGTATAACATCTCCAGGTCACGAGCGCACCAAGCCACGGGCAAGCCAGGTCCACATTGCAGGGGATGCACGTGGCTTCACTCTGGCCGCAATAAACGGGTACAGATGAAACACAAACTGACCACTCGTCAGCTTACAACTTCACGGCCATGGATGGATCAGCGCGGGAGCTCAAATTGCGACACGAGCGGTCAGGAAAAACAAAGGGGTCTTCAAGTGAGAGGTTATGGTTCTTATGGAGCCTAGATAGACACCACCACTTCCCAAACAACACTAGGGGGCGCAGAATCAGTGTCAGGGCTGCTCAGATAAGAACGTGAGTGTTTGGGGCAAGCTCTTGAACATGGCCACCTTCTTCATCTCTGCCACGAATGCAATGCACCAGCCTCAATACTACATTTGCAAGACATGAAGAGGGTCTGCATTCATGATAATGGGGCGTTAAGTTCGGGGGAAGAAGGAAGGCAGAAGGACCACCGGAAGGCAGTCTTATCTATCAGGCCCGCCCGCATGCCATCTCTACTCTGGGGTCAGAATCACAAGTTCCTGCCTCAGAAGCGGACGACAACAAAGGTGGGAAACAGGCAGATCGTTGCCGGTCACACAACCTGATGGATGTGGGTACAGACCATTTACTTAGGAAGAGCGTGAACATAGTATGGTGGATAATGACAGACCAACCCCTCAATACATCACTGCTTAAGCTCGCTCTGCAACCAACCATGGGTGACCACTGAAGCTATTGGGCCCCATACAATAACGGTTGCCTGGTGTTTGGAATACGTCTCATTATAATAATAATGTGGCATTCGGGATAGACTGGTCGGTTGCCAGCTGCTTGGAATAGGTCTCGCAACTGACGAAGAGCCAAAGAGGAAATTCGAAATGATGAATATGCTTCCATAACTGACGAAGTGGAAATTCGTTTGCCTAACTCGGTTCACATTACTTCAAAGTTGAGTGGTCAAGGGGGTAATATAACGCGTCATTCGGGATAGGGTGGCCGGCAGTGTTCCGAATGAGGGTATGCCTAAATCGGTTCACATTACTTCAAATGAGGGTATGACGTACGTACCCGGTCGATGTATGAAATGTACGCACATGTAACTCTTGACTGATAGACAAATCAAGAGTTCGAAACCTGCCGGATACCGTAATGCTAACGAACGGCTATTCAATTTAGGCCACCCGCTTCAGGAGGATGGATGTGCTGCCCGAAGTCCCTTTTTTGGGGGACGAGGAGCCTAGCAAACTTTCAGGGATATCTTCAGCGACCAATTGAAGAAATACATCACATTCTTCAGCCAGCAGCCCTAGCGCCTCTAATAATATATTTGCACTCGCTCTCATCTCCATCTGTGCTCAAGTGCCTCCCAGAAAAGCACACCAATAGCTGAGAGAAAGTTTGTTTGCTGGAATGCCTCTCGTTGGAATTTTACCTTTCTTTTTCCAGTTGAGGGCGTTTAAACAAGCGTCTGAACAAATGGAGGAACTGGCGCAAACAGCACAAGTGCAGCAGGGTGTTGGGGAGGCCCTGTAAGCCGAGCGAACTGTAGAGGTAGGGAGGGAGGGAGGGAGGGAGGGAGGGAGGGAGGGAATCGAGGGAAGTATCCCAAGTTTCAGCCCCTACACATCCCACATAGGTTGCCTTTGACCGCTACTGTTTCTGGACTGGCTAGTCCAAGCACGACACCTTGTACAGTGGGGCCCGCCCGGCTCTCGAAAGCGCACATACAGCAACATGTGTCTGAAATGGAACGCGCACGCATGGTAGGTGCACAGCGAACAACGTATGAGAGGGGACTGCTGCTGCACCCGTGATGGGAAATTCTAGTAAGCGAAAGGACATACATAGACGAGGGGGCGGGAGGGCGAGAGATAGATAGTGAGAAAAGGCATAGTAGCAAATAAAATGCGTGCACTGTAGACTCTCGGGTTTGTTTCCTGTCCTGAATGTTCATTACTGACCTGTCCAAGGTCTGCGAGCAGCTGTCCGTCGGCTCCAACGCAAGAGAGATTCCACCTCAGCAAGGGCCTGAGCCTTTCGTCCATTCTGCACGCCCCGACTGTCTGCCACTGGAACGTCTGAACCCAAGATGCCACAGCTCCTCCTCCCATTCCCATAGGATTAGTGGAACACCTGGCACTTCCCTCGGCAGCGGGCTGCAGCCCCCCAGCCGAAGAAACGCCAGGAGCAGCAGCACCCCCAGCACCACCATCACCGCGTCCTCCATCTCTCGCTTCCCCTGCCAAGCCATCATTCCTCAGTTCGGCCTCCATGGAGGCCGAGCTCCTCCCTCTCGTCGACCCACTTCTACTGGCAACCCGACCACTGCCCCTCCCCCCAACAGTCACACCCATCTGTCCACACGATCTCGAATGCAGGAGCGATCGTCGACGGCACCCACCATCGCGATCCTCCCCCGCTCCTCCTTGATTGAGCATCCCGCCTCCGGTTCCCGCCATCAACCCCTCGTCGTTATTCCTTGAAGCCCCTCCCACGTATGCCCAAGGGAGCGCAGGCGCTCTCCCATAGACCTCGCCCACTGCTCTCAAACCAGAGGCAAGGCGTTGATCCCCTCCCCCTCCAGAGCGATCGAAGCAGTCCCACCCCCCCTCGTCACTGCTCTTCGACGTCGAAGCCACACTAGACGACCCGTAGCTGTTAGCCACAGACGAAGACGATGACGAAGTCGAGAGAGGGAGAGAACAAGCCGGAGAAGAACAAGCGTTTAGCTCCACGTCCGCCCGATTTTTCTCTCTGTTATTGTTACTTGACTCGCTTCGCCTTGCCTTGTTATCGATATTTCGCCCCATAACCCCATCGCTGCTACGTTCTGACGGGCTACGGCTGCCACCTGCTAAACCGGGTGGTGTTGAGGTCGGCCCTGCTCTAGCCGGTAACCTGGGAGGAAGGCCCGTGGTTTTCCTCCCGCCGTCATACCTCTCCAGTAACGGGAGGATTCCTCTAAGTCGATGGCTTCGACTCCTATCCCGATCCCGTGAAGAGCCCGTTCCGGCGGCGGAACGCGACTCCCAACCAAGATTGCTGGTTGCTTGCCAAGCCGACCCTTCCCGTCGATCTTCGTCCTCGTCGCCATCATGGGGGATGCCGTCGCAGTCAACATGAGGTCCAGGCACTCGCCCTCCGAAACACCTATCGTGCCGGAGCTGATCATTCCTCCCAGCATCAGCCATCGCCCTTTGACTTCGGGCGACTCCAGGGTCCTCGTCTCGACTGCTCCGGACTAAGCTGCTGCTGCTGCTGCTGCTGCTGCTGCTGCTGGCCCCTATCTGCGAGCGGTAGTTTTGGTACCCCCTCCTATTACGAAACGAGAACTTCTTCCTCTCCTCCTCCCTCTCCTCCTCGGAGGAGGAAGAGGAAAATGGCGACGACGGCAATTTGGACGGAGCTCGACAGTTAAAAGGGGCCGCACCATCCTGTATCAGAGCACTGGCGCAGTCATCTGCGCCTCCTCGTCCGCCGCCGAGAACCCATCCACGGCCGTCTCCATCTCTAGTCGCCCCTCCTCCCCCTACTCCCCCTCCCGCCCCTGCTCGACAGTTCAAAGAGGCGGCACCATCCTGTATCCGAGCACTGGCGCAGTCATCTGCGCCTCCTCGTCCGCCGCCGAGAACCCATCTACGGCTGTCTCCATCTCTAGTAGCCCCTCCTCCCCCTCCTCCCCCTCCCGCCCCTCCCCCTCCGTCTATTCTCACCAGGCCCCGTGCCCCCTCTTCCGCCACCCTGGGTTCTTCAATGACCGCTTCTCCCGCAGCACCGTACTCCCCGTTACCCCTGGCGTCCTCCATGGTGAGCTTCGTGCCAATTGGGATTCGAGGGCTGATTGCCCGCCGCCTGACCGCCTACCTCGCTTCCCCGCGGACCGGCAAGCCGAAGCCGAAAACTCTCTCTCTCTCTCTCTCTCTCTCTCTCTCTCTCTCTCTCTCTCTCTCTCTCTCTCTCTCTCTCTCTCTCTTCCCCCGCTTTTTTCCTATGATCGCGGAGCATTCTATGGCGAATTCAATTATTGACAGATTTCCAATGGCCTGCTTGTCGTGCGTTTTTACGCCGCCGCTAAAAGCAAATCTAAGCAAAGCCCTCTCTCTCTCTCTCTCTCTCTCTCTCTCTCTCTCTCTCTCTCTCTCTCTCTTTTTTCTATGATCGGGGAAGCATTCTCCGGCGTTTTCATTTATTGACAGATTTTCAATGCCCTGCCTTTCGTGCGTTTTGCCGCCACCGCCATAAGCAGATGCGAGCGACGCCCTCTCACTCTCATCCGCCCTTCACTATTCCATTTCTATCATTCTGCGGGGCCGTAGGCAAGTACCCCGCCGCGCCAAACCCCACGCGCGGTGGAGTGTCACGCTATAATGATCATCGTGAATACATTCGCTTCAAAACCTAAGGTCCTCTTCACGCGGCATGGAATTACACAACCAATCACCGAGACAGAGAGGTCGCCCTCCATGCACATTCTCATCATTTTATCACAGAAGAGGAGAGACGGCGTCCACGCTTCCGTGCTCGGCATGCATCCGCTGAGAGGCGTTCAGTCCTGCTGACATACACAGACCCCTTCCTCAGAGAAAGAGGGGGGAGGAGGATGGACGTCGGAGATCTCTGCCATCTCCCTTTCCTATTCTTCACTCTCCCGTTTCACTTCTCGAGCTGTTCGACATCACCGCCAACCTTTTTGCCCAGCACCCACCTGCCGCATGGAGAGACATTTACACCGCCAACCAGCCATGCATGCAAAGCGCCTGCACACTCAGTAGAGAAAGAGAACCGAGCGGAGAGTGCAGAGGAAGGTGCAACGAAGCCCACGACAGGAAAACCGACAAAAGAGCAAAGTCAAATTTTCCGTCAGGCAACCATCATAAGTACGTTAAATAAATGAAGACACACGAACAGTAATAAATCCAAGTATTCAACAAACAAATGCATCATAAATTGCGAAGTCGCAGCGATGAGTTGCTAACTGCTGAGTGCGCCCGTCTGCCGAAATGACCAATCTTTTCTCCCACCTAACGAAAACCGCGCGCGCGCTCGAACACACGCACACGCGCACGAAAGGTCACACGATCATGGCCAACGTGCCAGGCCATACTTCCTTCTTTCACGAAATAAAGATAACGCGAGAGAGCAGAGAGAAGCCGTGTAAGAAGAGGGGAAGAGATGGGAGTAGGACGGTTGCCTGTCTCGTCTGTGGGCCAGATGTCAATCTGGCATGACAATGACAGCCCAAGCAGAATACACGGACCTGAATAGCGAACAAAGAGAACACAAAGGCAGGGGAGGGGCGCGGGTGCTGCTCGACGGGGCGGAGGGCTAGCGCATGGGAACGGTGGGAAGAGAGGATAATAGCATGCAAGGGAAGATGGGAATACCACGCGGAAGATATGGAAATTACTAGAAGCCGTGGAAGGAGGAGAGAAGGACGCATCGGAAGAGATGGGAATAGGATGCCTCGGAAGAGATTGAGACACAGGAGGAGATGGGAATAGGAATGCCTGGCAAAGAAGAAGGAATGGAACGCGAGGGACGACAAGGATAAGAGGGCGCGGCGCGCAGCGCTGACATGAGGCGAAAGGGGAGGAGGAAAGGATAAACGTTGGCGCTTCACAAACACCTGCAGAGAGTCAAACGGGTAGATACAGCTATTGGTCAAGCGAAGAGACGAGATCGCCCCGCCACCACCAGTACCACCATAGACTCCGCTCTGTCAAACTCCCTCCAAACAAGCACCACCCTGCGCATCATTCCAATTAAAACACATCCTCCCCTTCCGCATCATGATGCAGAGAAAAGGCAGCCAAGCAGAGATGACGTGGCAACGTACACTGCGCCATGCTAACGTGGCAAAATCATACCCTGACCGTCATGGGCGCATGTACATCACAAGACCGGTTACCGTCCCGATTGCTTTGCCTCATTACAATCGCCCTCGGAGATAGTAGCGCGCCATAATCGGATGACGTCAAGGGATTTCCAGCGAGCCACGTCCCACATACACGCCCAAGGGCAGAGTTGTAAACCGGAGAACTGGACGCAGGAGCGATAGAAAGCCAAGGCCGTAGGCATAGCCAACAAACAACATGAGAAGAACAAGGGGCGTGAATACACGCATGCATGCAGGCTTGCATGACCATCACCGCTACTCACCTTGCCGATGAGGATGCATGGCTCCAAGCAGCAGGGCGACACAGCAACCTTTCGTCACTGCTTCAACGACGCCATCTAGTCAATGCTGTTCCGACAGCGCTCAGCGATTCGCTGCGCGCTCCGAGCGAACGGCCATGGTGACCCCTCTTCCACAGCACGCCATTCTACCCGCCAGCACGATTCTGCCACACGTCAGCTCCTTGCAACATCAACCTCGGAGAGCACGATACACAGAAGATAGGGCCGCCGGATGAATTTGAAACACACGAGCACAGGGCCAATACACATGGCGAAGGGGATAGAGGGGAGTGGGAAGGAGGGAGGGAGCCGGAGAAAGACGAGCAGCCTCATGCCATCCTCTTCCCAAACAGAAGCAATCCGTTTCCCGCATTCTTTGTTGCTTTGCTAAACGAAAGCGAAAGCAGTGAACTCTCTGGCTGTAAGGTGACGCAAAGTCGGCTATCTGGCGTGCAACCAAGTTCCGCCGCGACGTCCAAACAGTTTGACATGACTTCGGGCCGAAGCGCGAGGAATGCAACAGGGCTGAACTGCGGGCGACACGCAAGCGCCCAAAAGCATCCCGACGATCCTTTTCGCTCGCCCGTCCTCTCCTACTCCCTCCGTCTGTCTTGGCAAATCGGGAGCTCATTCCCAGTGGCGGATTGTCCGCGATACCGTGCCCACCGAAGGGCCGATCAATACGTGTTCGTGTCGTCGTCGCTCAGGCACCGCGTTCTGCGGCGCCAGAACCACACACGGCCCAGGGCTGGACAGGGCATGCACCCGTGAAGCCCGGAGCGGCGGGTCCCATTTCGTCTCCAAGCTCCAAATTCGGAGGGACGGTAGCGCCCCAAACGCGGCGCGCCGAGCCGAGAAGGGACCCCAACGGGCGGGGTATCAGAAACCCGATGTGGCGGTAAAAGATTGGGCCTCGTTAGACACTCCTCGGGCGCATAAATTCCCCGACGAAATCTTTTCTTTTTTTTTTTTAACCG